AACATGTCTTCACGAATTCCCTTACAAATGATGTCAATGAATACACCGGATTATTCTTCAATAATGTATGAACCATCATATTGTAATTGTTGTTATTATGAAAATCAAGATGTATATATGGAAAATTCTTATCAAACATTTGATGAAAATTCAAAAGTTTTAAAAAAGAAATCAACACGTCGTTCGAAACATATTCCACATCATCTTCGACCACAACATATTGTTGAACGAAGAAATAGACGTGAACGATTACGTGTACAAGATGTTAATCAAGCATTTTATACACTTCAACAACTTTTACCATCGGATTCAAATTCAACAACATCAAATAATAATCAAGAACAAATGGATGCAACACGAAACTCATCTCGTATATCAAAAGTTTGGACACTTCGAAAAGCAGTGGATTATATTGATGCACTTCAAAAAATGTTATATGAAAATAATTAACTTTCGATTTTTATTTTATTTTATTTTGAAATATAAGTAGTTTATTATTCTATCTTTTCGTTGTATATTGATGAATATAATTTTAAAAAATAAAATCATATTTCGTGAAGAATATAAATTAAAGTTTTAGTATTCATTCATGAAGAATTAATGTTAAAAATTTTGATGAATAATGATATAGTTACTTTATTATGTAGTCTGATTTTTTGAAGGAAATTGCAAAGAACTGATACTTTTTAATTATTATTCAACACTTTTCATTTCGACTGAATAATTTCTTTGGTTCGAATGGCTGAAAGCGGCGGTCTATTTTTAGTTATATCGAATACAATGTATTTGATACTATTATCATGAAGGAATTTTGATGGAGTCGATAGTGCTTACAACAAAAGAGTTTTACTGTATTTTGTGTTTCAGTGTGGCATGCTTTACAATTTCTTTAAAAATAAAACCTAAATGCAGATCATGTTTTATTAAGCACAAATGTTGGATATTCTCATAATATTAGTTTAACTAAATGACATAAGTATTCAACGGCTTTTTCTTCTTTTTCATTGTGTGACTGAAACATTTCTGCGTATGAAATATTCCGAAAAAGAGAATTGGTTATATCGGAATAGATTACAATTTTTCATTTCTTTAATAATAAAAAAACATTTAATCAATCAGGTAGAATACCCCGTTATTTTTTTTAATACGATAGATATCAATGAAGTGACCAGTTTTTGTTAAATGATATCGAGATGTTTGTTTCGACTGTTGATAGAGACGAAGTTAATCTAGCTGTGCTAAAAAAATCACATTTTTACTATATCTAACGCCAGAGAACGAGTTAAAACAAAATCGAGTTTTGAACTTCTAATCCAAATTCCCTAACGGACTCTATCTTTTTTGATATACTCTATTTTTCCATTGTTCGTTATATTATTTAACGTGTAGTATATGAAATTATAACTGAATTTTTATATGAAATAAATATAAAATAAATATAACACTTAAAAAATTACTGAAAACAGCTTCTTTTAATTAAAAGAGCGCTACAAGGACAATTCAAATGGACACCATGAATAATACGTTCGGAACAGTTCAGAACACGCTCGTCTGTATTCGTTTTCGACGTGGGTTGTTAATTTTTTTTTCAGTTGAAACTGACCATGCTGGAGGAATACGTACAAATTCAATAGGTAATTCTCTGATCAACACTGAAGATGTTTCCAAATGAATACGTTCGTGTTCAAAACTCACAAGTAATGCCCACATTGGTTTATCAATACTAATCGGCATGTGTTCATCATTCAATAATGGATGTGTTTCGATTATTTGACAAATAACTTGATATACTTTAGCACGATATTGATGTACTTCATTTATTGTTGGCCAAATACTATTGTTACCTTCATGTAAATCATCGCATCTCATTTCATCGACACCAGTTTCAAATAACTTTTCATATTCTTCATTTATGCCACCATTAAGTATACCAGCTACACGTAATTTATTTATATATAAGACAGCTGGATGACCATAATAAAAGATCATTGGATGACGTAATTTATGATAAGGACGACGATAATATGCTTCTTCATTGACTAATCCATCGAATACAACTTCAGTTAATGTCCATGTATTATCAAAATAATCAAGTAATTCTTTTCGAGTAGCATTTGATTTTACTTGAGGCAGAGATTTGATTGAACCATTTGATTCAACACCAGGACAAATACCATAAACAGGTGGTTTACCAGTCCAAAAGGAAGAAGTACCAATAATATCATGGGAAGTTGAAATACCAGGCATAGTTTGATGAAAATATTATATAATGCAGACCAAGTAAGAAGTTGTGAATATTGAAAGATGATCAGCATAGTATTATATATAGTCGATGTGGATGTGGGTGTTGTATATTGATATTGATCTACACCTACACCCACACCCTAGTAAATAAAAATGAGTCAAATGATGTCATTTAGTTTCATTACTTATTATTACCTTGATTCATGACGTTACACAAGGACAACCTAGATATTCATAAATAGATATCGACTACAGAACGAAAGTAATCATTATAACCATCTTTTCTATATTCTAATTGAGTAATGCCGATGAAATACAATTTTTTTTAATGCGATGCGACGCAAGGTATTTATGGAGCCCTTCGCAAGTTTTTCTGCTATCTGGACATATGCATTCAAAATTGTCATTTTATGTTATGATTATCTCAGTTGAGGATGTAGATGGATGTGAGTAATTAGAATACATATGATACATCCACATCCTAATTCTTAGAATTTCAGATGTATCTAAGTAAATAAATTATATAAATCGATGCTTTTTCAACGAAAGAACAACATGTGAATATAAACTATGAATTAATTCCATTGCCTAATGTTTTGTAACACAAATTTTATTTTATTTTCTAAAACTAAGTCATGGTTTATTTTAATAATTGGTTCAGATCATTCAAAAATACTGCTCATATATATTTTTCATTTGTAAATATAGCTAGCTTTACGCTCATCATAAACATAATCTCACGATAAAATACAAAGCATACACTAATGTACAATTTGATGTGTGATTATATTAATAATTTGATAAAAAGTTAATTTGAATTCTACTATAATATATAGTGAAGAGAATGGTCGTTCATAAATAAACTGCATTTGTTTATTGCTTTAACCTAGGCAGAAAAGGTTGATTATATATAATGATTTTATATAGTGAAGTTATTCATTGCACATTATATTCTTTTTTCGTTTAGCATTAAACATAAATACGGATGTTACATACAAAGAAGATCTATGTTTGTACGAGTACATTAACTTTTTACTATTGCTATTCAAAATCTGAAAGTATATTTTATAGTTAAGTTCTTTATGGAAATGTTTTATAAGATAGTATGTGATAGTTTTCAGAAATAAATTTTAGTCGAATGTGAACTGCTTCTAAAAGATAACACAAACATATTGATCGTTAAAAAAATGAATTTTGATTCAACATAAAATTTCAAAATGTACGCGATCAACTTGTTTTCTCTATTTTATTGATTTCTACAAAATAGATAAATAGAAGTATTATAATTCAATTTTTTATTTTCAAAATTGGATGATATTGAAATAATTTCAAAGGCTTTTCTCACGTACATGCAGATACTTGTTAATCCTTTTTCTAAAACGAACAATCATTTGTAATACTGAGAAGTAAAAATAAACATGTGAATGTCTATCATAGAAGATTGTAACATAATTAAGAAGATGTAATGATTTACGAAAGTTTCCACTTGATTATTATCCAGTGACAAGTAAGTGAGAATAGTCAATTAAATGGTTGTATTATAGTTCATTTATTTGTTATTTCAGACAATTGATTAGTACGAAAACAAATAATGCGTAAAGAAACATTTATGAATTTTATTCATTTTAAAAATATATCAATACTGGTATTTTTCTATCCGTTTACCTGAATGTATCTATTTTGTTGATTTTTCATACTTTTGATAACATTATATAAGTTATAGAATATGCATACACGTCGTCTTTGACTTATGAAAATAAAAAGAAGATAAATAACAATCGAGAATGTGTATAGGTGTGACTACAGATGTTTATAAAGAACAGATTGTTACTCACGCCAACATCTTCATCCAGCTATCCATATCGACAGCCATCAACCTCACACTAACATCTACTCTATAAAAATGAAGGCTGTATACAGCATTTATGATGACATAGATGCTGAGACGTGTTTTAGTAAAGGTGGTAGTTGCGTGCGAGATATGGAACAGTGTTTTAGTTGCGAAGAGGATCATGCATAGCGAGTGGTTGAACATGATGGTGAGTGCAATGTTGAATAGCTAAAGATTGTTCTGTTATTACCATTGACGAAGTGATCCGTTTTGTGAATACCCGCACAACTCGCAAGTTTCATAGAAAAGAGTCATTTTTTTGCCAAAATTCAGTTTGCAATAAAAAAGACCATAGATTCTATTTGATCATAGAAATAAAATAATATGGGTTTTGTGTTTGAATAGCATTATATTGTCAATTTTTATCAATTATAATGTTTTCGACAAAATAACTATTTCTAACGTTCGAGTATTCGACAACATCGAAAATGAGAGCAGAAAAAAAAATTCGTTGGAGATTCTTTTTTTGCTTCATCAAAATACGCAGTAAAGTTTCTTTTCACGGATGATTTTAGTGACTGACAATCGCAAAAACACAATTTTTTCTTTTTCGTTCTCTGCTTATTACTAAGGAATGTTTGTGTTGATGTTCGTTTATTTTTCATAACAACATCTACAATAGTTACTAAATAGGCGTTGTTGTCCAACTCAAAAAGTAGAAAAATAAATCTCGATAGGAAGTAGAGACACTATAAAATGAGCAACTTTCATAATTTTTTCATTCACAAATTATAGCCAAGCAAGTCAAATATAAAACATTCGCATTAAAAGTAATGGGAAATAAGAACTCAACAGCTGTCACCGCATTCAGTAATGCGAAACATGTTGAGCCAGTATCTGGTTTCTCCACGAATGCATCTGAAATTCGACGTATGAACATGCGAAGAATGCAAAATGTCCTCCTTATTTGGTTGGACAACAATATTGATGAAAATAATGCATGTTGCAGTAATACAATCAAGCAATTGAAACGTGTTGTTAACAACGTAAACACATTCACAGATAGTGAAGAATGTGTTGAATTTATTCAAACCATTAATAACAACAAAGTATGTATGATTGTTTCTGATTCACTTAAGAAGCAGATTTTGCCTCATGTGCATAACATGTCCCAAGTGGACACCATTTTTATTTTTTCTAGCAATCAAGAATGGTATAAACCATGGGCCAAAGAATGGCGTAAAATAAAAGGAGTGTTCACAGATATAACATCAATCTGTGAAGCTCTTAAACAAACTGTTCATCAATGTGAGCATAATGCCATTTCGATTAGTTTTATGGCATCAAACAAGAAATTGGATCAATTAGATCCATCATTTATGTATACTCAGATCTTGAAAGAGATCTTCTTAACCATCGACTTCGAAGAAAAACACATTAAAGAATTTATCACTTATTTTCGTGAAGCATTTGCCGAAAATGAGTATGATTTACATAACATTGAAAAATTCGAACGTGACTATCATGATCAAAGACCTATTCGGTGGTATACTTCTGAATGTTTTTTATATTCGATGCTTAATCAAGCATTAAGATTCATGGATGTTGATATTATTCTTCGAATGGGTTTCTTTATTAATGATCTACATCGTGATATTCAACGACTCCATTCTGAACAATTTCATGGTCAACAATCTGATGAAACATTTACAGTTCATCGTGGGCAATGTCTTTCAAAAGAGGATTTCACTGAAATGACAAAAACTGAAGGTGAACTTCTTTTATTTAATAACTTTTTATCGACTAGTAGAAATCGTGATGTTTCTCTCTGTTTCGTACCACAAGGTGCTACGAATCCTGATCTTGTTGGAAATCTATTTGTTATGTTAATAAATCCGACTGATTCAACCACTCCATTTGCTTCTATTTGTGATGTTAGTAATTTTCGCATAGAAGATGAAGTTCTCTTCTCTATGCATACTATTTTTCGCATAGAAGATGAAGTTCTCTTCTCTATGCATACTATTTTTCGCATCGAAGATATTAAACTAATGGATGAAAATAATGATATCTATCAAGTGAATTTAACATTGACCAATGACAACGATCAAGATCTTCAAACTCTTACCGATCAGATCCGACAGGAGACCTTTCCAGATTCGACAAGATGGTACAGATTAGGTAAATTGCTAATTAAAATGGGCCAGTTTAACAAGGCTCAAGAAGTGTATGAAGTTTTAATTCATCAAACAATAAGTGAGAGTGACAAGGCACCGATCTATTATCAACTAGGTGGAATCAAACGTAATCAAGGAGAATATCAAGAAGCACTTTCTTATTATAAAAAAGGCTTTACAATTCGACAACAATTACTTCCTTCTAATCATCCTGCTTTGGGAGATTCCTATCACAGAATCGGTATTGTATATGATAGCATCGGTGATTATCCAAAATCACTTTCTTATTATGAAAAAGCTCGCGCAATTCGACAACAGTCACTTCCTTCCAATCATCCTGATTTGGGTGCTTCCTGTAACAACATCGGTTTGGTGTATGCGAATATGGGCAACTATTCAAAAGCTCATTCGTTTTATGAACGTGCTGTACAAATTGGACAACAATCATTACCAACAAATCATCCTAATCTTAAAATGTATAGAAGAAACCTCGAAATCGTAAAAAAGAAATTATAATTTCTTTCTGCGTTTTCTTTTTGAAAGTAGAATAAAACTGATGAAAAATAAAACGTGTCTCTATTGGAACTCTGTTCTTGTTAAGAACACAGTATAAACAAAAATACTCACCGGCAGGGTAAACAATATATATTGTAGAAAAGACCTTCATGGCTACATTATTATGCCTGAACAGGTAGAGTTTCGTTGTGTTAGATAAGAAAGAAAGATACTCAACAGAAACATAGAATAAAAGGAGAGAAAAAGTTTATTTTATCAATAGAATGAATTATTCTTTCTGTTCCAATATTAAAGAACATTTCATACCGCTGATAAACTCATCCATATTAAATGAATAGAATACCTGTATATATATACATATATATGAAAGTAATTGAGGAGCAGAATCAATACTTTTACATACAAATAAAAAATATATATCGAATTCTATTGATATACCCTATTAATTTCGAATGCTATCTTAGTCTATCTGAATGATGATATGAACTTATATAGACGACTCATTTCAATATATGATCATTGTTCACAATGACCTTTACATATTCTGTTTTTAAGATATTTAGGAATCTATTTATCATTAACATGAATACAAATATCAGTTCTACTTTTCAGAATAACATTCAAATAATAAATCCTTATACAATCATTTATTTTTTTCAATAGATGAAAACCAGTTTTATTTTAAAGATATATTTGAATAAAATAATGCTTTGTAATACATACATCATGTTTCAGTTGCATTACTAGTAAGGATAAATTTCCTTCTTACAGATTTTAATGAAAATAATTAGATTATAAGATTTCATTAACATCAATAGATATTCTTTAACTTCAAATAACAAAAATGTTTCGATAATACTGAATCAAAAGATTCTGTGTTTGATGTATATTACAATAAGCAAGTATTTATCAATTATTATAGAAAAGAAAAGATGATTATTTTATGTAATCAAGAGAAATATTATTTAAACTTATTTTTTTCATTCATAATTTGTTCATATAAAGCATATATGTATAGAATTCTTGAAATAGTTTCATTGAATTTGAGAAAATATTATAAATAGTATTTCTCATTTATTATGAATGCAAGTATATTGATTATGTTCTGGAAACATTAATAGATTGTGTTAACCTTTGATCATTGATGATTTTCTTAAGACTTTTCGGAAGTTGTGAGAGAAGAATGAGGAGGAATAATTATGAAGAAGCAGATAATCCGAAAATCAAAAAAGAAAATCTTTTTATAAAACAAATATTATGGATGTCATTTACTTATAAAAACTGCGTACATTTCTATGTTTCGATAATTTAAAGAATTCGTTTACATTAATTATGAGTTAAACACCATGCACTAGAAGCTAATTATCTGGTTGCTCACTCAGTTGATGTGTTTGATCATGATCATGTGCAACGTGGTATTGCGGGTGTGGGTGTGGGTGTGTTTCTGCGTAGTCTACTTCATCCACACCCATACCCACACCCACCCTCTGAATTCTATACTACTTTGTTGCGTAAGACATATGGTAACTAAAAAGAGAAGGAAGATTCTAGAAGATGATAAGAGATACAGTGAAGAACGTGTGACGAATGGAAGCAGATCACTCTACTTAACGATTTATTTGATAAATAAGAAAAAAGTACAACTTAGAAGAAACATCGTTATCAGCTTTAGTTTTTTTTCTTCTGCTATTTCTCTTATCTACTCAGTCGTCACTTTTAGTTTTGAGGTGTCTGAAATCCGTCTCTGTAAAAATGAAAAGATTGCAAAGAATAATAGTAAGAATAATGATGGGAAAGAAACCATTTTTATCAATGATAGACTCCTCATATTCTCTCTTTTTCTTGTCTATTTATTAAAACAATTTTGATTGTAAAGGATGTGAGAGTCATGGTGGGTGGGTGTCGATGTTGGTGCAAATGTAGGTGTGGGTGAGTGTGGGTATATGGCGCGGGTGTGAGTGAGTGTAGATATAGGGTGTGGGTGTGGGCGCGAGATAAATATACTACACCCACACCCACAATCACCTCGTAAGAGAAAAAATAATTCGACCAAAGAATTTTATTTCGCTCTTTTTGTACTTGACGAAAAAAGTGTCGTGCACACATTGGCAAACGGCACTAATGATGTAGAAAGGCAAGAAAAAGTTGGAAGAAATAATAATAAAATGAATTCGATTGTCGGTTTCTGTTTTGTTCGTTCTTTCAATGATGTTACCAACAAGGTTTTTTGCTCTGCACAATAATATTTTCAATAGTAACTAGGTGAAGTTTGTTCTTGAGCGACAACAAAAAAACACAAACATTCGAAGTCGTCAAAAAATCGAAAAAAAACCAAGTTACTGCCTATATAAAGAGGAATATTGATCTTTCTTTTCATTCAAGCAACAACATTTACTGACAAGTTCACATTCAACAATGAATTACGACAATATTAAAATGAGCGAATCAAAATCACATGAAAGCGCTGGTGCATCATCCAAACCGACATCTTCATCAAGTATTTATCAACCACGACAGCGTATGGCACAAAACTATCTTCTGCTGTGGGTAGATGCCAGCATAGACGAAGCCGACAAGGATTGTCAAGATATATTGGCTCAACTGAAGAACGTAGTCAATGAGGTCCATCTATGCTCGCAATCCGATCAGTGCATCCATCTGGTCAATCAGCTTGACACGGAACGAGCCTTCGTTATTACGTCAGGCTACTTTGGTCGACATTTAGTCTCAAAGATTCATGGTATGTCACAATTAGATGCAGTTTACATCTTCTGTGGCAACAAATCTAAACATCAAGAATGGACACAAAACTGGACAAAAATCAAAGGTGTCCATACAAACATCAAGGAAATCTGCCAAGCATTGCAACTGGCTGTTAAAAAATGTGAACAGGACTCAATTGCTGTAAGTTTTCTCGCGGCAAATGAAATGGTTTCAATTGATAATTTGAATCAGTTGGAGCCAACTTTTATGTATACTCAGATATTTAAGGAGATTCTCCTTGGTATGAAACATAGTGAACAAGCCATCAGACAGTTTACTGCTTATTGTCGAAAAGATAATAGTGTGTCATCAATTAACATTGGCCGTTTTGAGAACGAATATCATGCTCAATTAGCTATTTGGTGGTATACTTTTCCATCGAATATCTATTCTATGCTCAATAAGGCTCTTCGAACATTGGACACCGATGCAATTATTACTATGGGTTTTTTTCTTAGTGATTTGCATCAACAAATTCAACAGTTATATGAACAACAGGTCAGTAGTTATGGGCGAAAACCTTTTTTAGTTTATCGAGGACAAGGTCTTATTAAATCAGACTTTGAAAAGCTTGAGACAACAAAAGGTGGACTTATGTCCTTTAACAATTTCTTGTCTACCAGCACAAATAAAGAAATGTCCCTCAGTTTTGCTCAAGATGCTTCAACAGAACCAAATAAGGTTGGCATTCTTTTTATAATATCCATTGATCCTTGTATTAAATCGGCACCATTTGCCTCCATTAAAGAGCTGAGTTATTTTAAGGAAGAAGATGAAATTCTCTTCTCAATGCACACCGTCTTTCGAGTGAGTACAATTAAACAACTGGACATAAAGAATCAACTTTATCAGGTCGAATTACAGTTAACATCGGATGATGATGAACAATTGCGATTACTTACCAATCGGATACGAGAAGAAGCTCCTGGTATTACCGGATGGCAAAGATTAGGTCACTTATTGCTTAAAATTGGTCAATTTAATCAAGCTGAAGAACTTTATAATGTATTACTTGAACAGACATCTGATGGGAATGAAAAACAGCACTATTATAGTCAGCTAGGCTTAGTTCATCACCATCAAGCTGATTATGAAAAGGCTATTTGTTATTACGAACAAGGGCTGGAAATTCAACAAAAAACTTTTCCATCAAATCACCCTTCATTAGCTACTTCACACAGCAACATCGCTAGTGTGTATGTGAGCATGGGAGAATACTCAAAAGCACTTTCATTTCACGAAAAAGCACTTGAAATTCGAGAAAAAACTCTTCCTTCAAATCATCCTGATTTGGCTACTTCATACAGTAACTTTGGTTTGGTGTATGACCACATGGGAGAATACCCGAAAGCACTCTCATCTCACGAAAAAGCACTTGAAATCCAGCAAAAGACTCTTCCTTCTACTCATCCCTCGTTGGCTACTTCATATAACAACATCGGTAGTGTGTATGACAACCTGGGAGAGTACTCAAAAGCAGTTTCATTTTACGAAAAAGCATTTGAAATCTATCAAAAATCTCTTCCTTCAAATCATTCGGATTTGGCAGCTTCATACAACAACATCGGCAGCGTGTATAATAAAATAGGAGAGTACTCGAAAGCACTTTTATATTACGAAAACGCACTCGACATTTGGCAAAACACTCTTCCTTCAAATCATCCTAATTTGGCTAATTCATACAGTAATTTCGGTTTGGTGTATGACCATATGGGAGAGTCCTCGAAAGCACTTTCATTTCATGAAAAAGCACTTGAAATCCAACAAAAGACTCTTCCTTCTACTCATCCCTCGTTGGCTACTTCATACAACAACATCGGTAGTGTGTATGACAACCTGGGAGAGTACTCAAAAGCAGTTTCATTTTACGAAAAAGCATTTGAAATCCGAGAAAAATCTCTTCCTTCAAATCATTCGGATTTGGCAGTTTCATACAACAACATAGGCAGCGTGTATAATAAAATAGGAGAGTACTCGAAAGCACTTTCATCTCATGAAAAGGCACTTGACATCTATCAAAAGACTCTTCCTTCAAATCATCCTGATTTGGCTACTTCATACAACAACATCGGTAGTGTGTATAACGTCATGGG